CCCAACCTCTCATTATTTTGTTGGCCAATTAGCCCTAATATCAAACATACCAATTTTGGCCCATTGTCTCCTCTCTTCACTTCTCCTGTTTTTAACAAGCGTAATTTCAACATACTCTTTGAATCATACTGTGACAGGACACCCCCACCCCGCACTCAAGCACAGGGAAACCACCTGGTGCAGGGGGCGGAGAGGGCCCCACCCACGCAGCCCTACTGGGCATGCTCCCAGGGGAGCCAAGGTATAAAGGGCTGCAGGCCTGCTCAGAAGGGGCAGACTGCCGTTGCAGCCGGAGCTAGCACCCAACCTCCAGAGTTGCAGACTAGACCGCGAGAGAGGGAGTCACCAGGCTCACTGAACGCGCTGCTGCCAGGCCCAAGCCAGGCTCAACTCCAACGACAGAGCCACTGGCCAGCCCCCCAGGCACTGTACCGACCACTGCAAACCCTGACGCCAACTGGGGAAGTGCCACTATTGCCACCGGACTCGCACCAACAGGTGGGACCACTACGGGCTGGGGGTAGGAAGTGACCCAGGGCAGGGAGCTGGAAAAGTCCCTGAGGGCTCGGTGCGTTGCGGGGAGGAACCCCCTCCGAGCCAGTGGTGGGAGCTGCCTGCCACTGATAGGGCTCTAGGTCAGGGACCAGTGGAAAGGAAGGGCCCGGGCCCCTCTACCCCTCCTGCCCTGAACCCCGGTGAGTGGGAGCTCAGCTGAAGGACTAGGCCTCCGAGTCTGCATACTTTAAGACTAGGCCAGTGGGTCGCATTTCCCCTAATACGGGGCAGTGTACTGTGAGACTAGACCCAAGCAGTCTAAACTATGCCCCGGACTTGGGCGGCACCCTCCGAAGGGGCAGCAGCCCCCCGACACATATCAATTTGGTCTTTTTGTTTAGATATACTCAGTTATTCTATCTCTCTTTCATACCTTTTCTCATCAACATTTGCTATTATAGTTTATCGTAACATGTTATTAACTTTTACATACTTTTTACAATTCATGTAAATTGGTAGGCCCAACTGTCACCGTACTGCATCATTCATCTCAATGGAGAGGTAACTCTGATAACTTATCATCTTTTCAGTTATTTACTGCTAATCATTTGAATAGAGACTTCCAGGTAGTGTGCTTGTCCCATGGTCTCAGATGTCCAACTGCTTATTTTCAAAGGGCCCACAAGTCATGCCCCCATTGCAGCTTCCACATCTTCCCATTCTCCCTCCCTGTACAGTGATGCCTATGGTGACAATGGTGGCAATGCAAAAATGCAGAGTACAACGAAGACTAAAGTGTGGCCAATTTACAATAAATAATTTAATATGAAAATAAATAATGCTCAAGCTACTGTGTAATCGCTATTATGGTTTGTGTATAGGAACACTTAGTGGCTCAGTTAAACTAGGGGCTCCTTGCACTACACACTGTACAAACATATAACAAGAATCAGTCCCTGACCCAAACAGTGTAAAATACACTGACCGTAGTATTCATTATATATTTACTTCAATAAATGCCCCAATTTTTTGAATTTACG